CCGAATTCTGCAATCGGTTTGTTTTTTCCAAAGAGAGGTTGTGGACTCCTCTTGACAAACTAGCGAAGGACCCAAGGCAAGCCACAGGAAGATTGGCTAGATTCAGATGTTTGCTCAACCAAAGGGGGGTTGCTGCTGCGCCGGTAGCAGGACCAGGCAGAACTGCTCCATTGGACCCTGGTTCTTGCTACAAGCAGTGAACAGCCATTAAGATCATCGACAGCAGTGCTTGCATGATGCTAAGAGAGGATCAGCCATTGTTGCCGGCCTTTATGGGGGGTAAATTAGTATTTATATGACAATAGTTAATCAGTTTCTGCTGAAATCTTGCTGATTATTGTCATTCAAGCAAACCCAAAAAATAAAATTTCTGCTGTGGAGCAATGTGACATAATAATGTTTCTTTTTGTCGATCGTTGACATGTTTAAGACTAACAAATTAGTTTTCCTGATATCTGAGTTCTTTGCATCTTCTTCTTATTTAGTTCTATGCTGTTAGCAACAAAACAGTTCAAATCTCTCAGCAGTCAGATTTCTCATCTCTTTCCTATCCTTTCTTAGTTGTGTTTCTGGAAGCTATAGAAGATTGTCCTGTTGTGTTATTGGAGCAATACAATAAGAAAGCTAAGGTATACAGTATTCTCAAGCAGTGTGCATATATTCACGCTATATGCATGCTTGTCTCGGACACTGACACAGTAATGCATACCATGAAAAGATCCATCCATGCTGATCAAGCATGACCACCTCTTTCATTACAGTAGAGTCGAGCAAATCATCTCATCTCGCCGGGTGATCGTCAAAGTCATAAAGAAGGAGACAAAATGGTCTCTCTGTACACCCAACCCGGCTAATCATCCCATCTTTTGCTGCTTTCCATAAGCAAAACATCTTGCATTAGTGATCGTTTCGATTGATCGACCACGAGACACCATTATGCAACAACTCATGGTGCTGCTGTAGGACAATGAGCCGAGGGGCAATGGGTGTCCATCTTCAATCTCTACTAATATGATCAATACCATGACAACATTTAGTTGCAAGGAGTCCAATAATAATAAAAATAAAGATAATAAAATATGTGTCATGAGAATAGAATATTATAGTTGGACCTACAACACCTGTTTTATTAAACAAGTTTTCATAAAATAAAATAATAATAATTTTTTGAAGACCTAAGTTCCATTTTTTTAAAACTAGGGTTGCATTGTTTTTTAATACTATTTTTAAAAAGAATTTAATGCCATTCAAAAACACTATAAAACAATTTAACCCCATCAGAAAAGCCTTTAAAATAGGTATTAATATTTATTTTAACCATCAAAAGGCAGAATTTGTGTTAATTTTCTAAATTTGATCAATTTAAAGTCAAAAAATGAATCCCCAGTAGTGAACAAAATAAACTTTACTTCCAGTAAGGATGTGTTTTTCCTACCCTCTACCACTAGCATTGAGAACTGGAGTTGACTCGCTCATGTGGGACGACAGGTCTCTGTTTCTTGAAAGCCAGCGGGCTCTGCACCTCCTCCTCTTCCTTCACCGCCGCCGCCACCCAACGCTTGACGTCGTCGAACTCTGAGTCCGGCGACGCTGGCACGTTCAGATAGAACGGCATGTGCCTCGATCTCGCCCCCTCCGACGACGTCATCGCCGCCGGGGTAGTGCCGCTGCCGACGCTCCCGTCGTTGTGGCACCTCTTGTGCCACCCAGCGCTTGCCCCAACGGAAACGTCTTCAGGCACACCGAGGGAGCACCGGTGCACCCTGCCGCCACCGGAGGCCGCCGTGGAGGCGCTTGCGCTAGTCGTGAAAGAGCCCGAGGCCGAGGCTTCCTCGACGCTGCTGCTAGGCTTCCGATGGCTGGCCTTGTGCCCGCCCAGGGCCTGGTACGACCCGAATGCCTCCCCGCAGACGGAAGGCCTGTACTCGAGCTTCGCCGGCGGTGCCGAGTCGGAGGTCAACAATGGCAGACGATGAGTACCGGGCCCTCATCCGCAAGCGAGCACGAGGAGGCAGAGCCAAGTACTCCTCCTTTGCCGGCAGGTGATCGAATCAAACCTGAAAAACCAAAGAAAGGAAAGTTTTACTATAACCCAGATTTAGCCGCCTCATTTCATTCTATTCATAGTATCCTCATCAAAACAGACCACGACAATGACATCAGCAAAGCCATTAAAATAGTTCTCATAGGACAATTAAAAGTACCTACGAGTGAGTGAAATAGTAATCTATGAGCGAGTGAGTGAAATAGTAGTCTGTGAGATATAGCCAAGGGTCGGATTCTAATTGTCTTAATTTTGCTTATCATGTTTGTTTTGATGACAGTTTCTGTGATGATACTTAGAAAAGAGTGCTGCAGGCTTCACCTAGAGTGCTGCTCCTCATCTGCTATTAAGACTAATAGCACTACATAGTTTATTATTGTAATCCTCCTCATACTTTTATTTATCTAGTAGATGTGTGATTATGGCTTGAAATGCTTATTAATTAAAGCACATTCATATTATCCACGTACAAACACAACGATACTACTTAATCACACATTCACTAGATAAATAAAAGTACGAGGGGTCGGAGTAATATCATTACACCAATATTCTTCGTTAAACACTATTAGTGTCATGAGTTGAATACCATTTAAGAGAGCTATATCTTTCACCATTATAGGTAAAATACTATCACCAAATAGATGGGAAGACAAAGTCCCATCTCTAGAGTGTTATAGGATAAGCAAAATGACACGGGTGTGAGGTCAAATGGATGCTGACAAGGTTAGGAGACTTGAAAATCGAACTCAATCAAGATGAAATACTTAGCTCGTAAGTAATATAAGAGTGGTGCATCACTAAATCATAGTCATGTGAACTTTTTTATTTTAAGTCTCGAC